TAGGCTATTCTGCTTGAATTAGAGTTATAATTTTAAATGTAATAATTTAGACTATATATTGGGTGGGGTGACCCCTTGGCAGGCCAGACGGCCAAATGTGGCCCGACATGTATTTTATGTATTTATTTTTTATTTCAAATATTTGAACTTTAATACTTTRGGGATTTTTTGGCATCCACGCAGGTTTTGATGGTAAATACAAATTTAGTACACTGCATCTGGTCCTTAAAGGGTTTGAAACCACTGACCACCAGCAGGAACTAACCCAGCTGAAGAAACTGACGGGGTTTGCTTTTTTCTAAACCAACATATCTGAGCAACTGCTTGTGTCAAACAGACAGATGCATACCTGCAAACACTCACTGCTGGAGGTGCTACAGAAAAAAAGCATTTCACTTAAACTAGCATCTTCTAAGTGTTTCCCATTAAAACAGTGCAATCTTTTCAAATTAAAAGGAACAAGAAACAGAATATGAGGCAATACGTGTGCAGTGAAGCACTCCAGGTCCAACTAGTCAAACCTAAACTGGTATCTAGCGCTCTCTGGTGAGTAAACAGTAACATGACATGAAGCAGTTGTGAAACAGCACCTATGTTGACGACTGCAGCTCCCTGTGTGTGCAGCATGCTGCGCAGAGCTGCCCTGCAGGTCAGCATGCAGCCCAGCAGGTTGGTGTGGAGCAGGGACACCATGTCCTCAGGCTTGGTCCTCAGTAACAGGGCGTCTCTGGTGATACAGGTCTAAAGTTTAAAACCTGACAATAAACAACAAAACAGGAGAGGCTCTGCAGCTCACCTGTTGACGCCGGCTGCATTCACCAGGTAGGAGATGTTTCCACACGTCCTCTGGATCGTCTCAAAGGTTTCCTGCACCTCCTCCACTCTCGACACGTCACAGCTGAAAGCTTGGTGCTCAGCTACAGAAACACACAGCTCTGTTCTTACACMGACACTCGTTTCTGTTTTTATGTTTACATTAGGCTGGAAATAATTTATTATTATACCATTTGAAATGCTTAGAAAAAGACATTTTATCCATTGATACCAACWCATTAAAACTAATTGTACCATTTTTGAATGAATGAACATTGCCCATTTCTCAGGACACTTTTCAGCKAAGATCATAATTTGTTAACATGTTGTGGAGATGTAGTTTGAAACCTTGAACATTTCATTATGCACAATGTCATGCTCAGAGTATTTGTTTTGAGTGACTCATGTTTTCATCTCAAATTTTTGTTTAATATCTGTAAAACTGCTGGAGTTGTGGTCGTTTTACTGTGGATTATCATTGCAAACATCCTGAAATAGACCAACAGTTAACCAGTTTGAGTTATTTTGTAGCAGACAAACAATGATGACTCCAAAAGAAAACTTACTTTTTTTGTAAAGCAGATTTTAAAAGGAAACATACTATTAAGTAAATACATTTTGTTGTGAATTTGGAGTCTCTAGGAGGCAAAAAAGTTGAACTAGTCTCTCCTGGTGCTGCAAAGATATCTTTATATTCTGTTTGGGTCAAAGTTTTCAAAATGTTCAGTTTTCTCTATTGTCTAGGACATTTTCTGAACCGTTACATCAAATTATTTGCAACAGAACGGACAAATAAGGTCTGAAGTTAACTGCAATTTCCTCGTCTTCATTGTATATATAGTATATACAGTATATACAGT